ACAGTAATGAAAACAGTGTGGTACTGGCATAAAAACAGAGAAGTCGACCAATGGAATCGTATAGAAGGCCCGGATTTTATCCCACAAACCTATGAACACCTCATTTTTGATAAAGGAGCTAAAAGTATACAATGGAAGAAAGAAAGCATCTTCAACAAATGGTGCTGGCACAACTGGATGTCATCCTGTAGAAGAATGAAAATAGACCCTTATCTATCACCGTGCACAAAACTCAAGTCCAAATGGATTAAAGACCTCAATATCAGCCCGAACACACTGAACCTGATAGAAGAGAAAGTGGGAAGTACCCTACAGGAGATGGGCACAGGAGATCGCTTCCTATGTATAACTCCAGAAGCACAGACATTAAGGGCAACATTGAATAAATGGGACCTACTTAAACTGAGAAGCTTCTGTAAAGCAAAGGACATAGTCACTAAGACACAAAGGCAACCTACTGACTGGGAGAAGATCTTCACCAACCCCACAACAGACAAAGGTCTGATCTCCAAAATATATAAAGAACTCAAGAAACTAGACTTTAAAATGCTAATTAACCCAATTAAAAAATGGGGCACTGAACTGAACAGAGAATTCTCAGCAGAGGAAGTTCAAATGGCCAAAAGACACTTAAAGTCGTGCTCAACTTCCTTAGCAATCAGGGAAATGCAAATCAAAACAACTTTGAGATATCATCTTACACCTGTCAGAATGGCTAAAGTCAAAAACACCAAGGATAACCTTTGCTGGAGAGGCTGTGGAGGAACGGGTACCCTCATCCATTGCTGGTGGGAATGCAATCTTGTGCAACCACTGTGGAAGTCAGTGTTTCGGTTTCTCAGGAAATTCGGGATCAACTTACCCCTGGACCCAGCAATACCACTCCTGGGAATATACCCAAGAGATGCTTTATCAAATGACAAAAGCATTTGTTCAACTATGTTCATAGCAGTATTATTTGTAATAGCCAGAACCTTGAAACAACCTAGATGCCCTTCAATGGAAGAATGGATGAAGAAAGTATGGAATATATACACGCTAGAGTACTACGCTGCGGTAAAAAACAATGACTTCTCGAATTTTGCATGCAAATGGATGGAAATAGAAAACACTATCCTGAGTGAGGTGTCCCAGACCCAAAAAGATGAACATGGGATGTACTCGCTCATAATTGGTTTCTAGCCATAAATAAGGGCCACGGAGTCTACAATAGGTGAACCTAAAGAAGCTAAGTAAGAAGGTGAACCCAAGGAAAAACATATAGTTATCCTCTTGGCTAAGGGAAGTAGACCAAATTGCCGGGGAGAAAATTAGGATCTTGGGGGTGGGGTGGGATGGGGGTAAGGGGAGATGGGGAGAGAAAAGGTAGAAGGGAAGGAGGGGGGACTTGGGGAATCAGGAGAGTTGGGATAAAGGAAAGGTGGATAGGGGAGCACGGAACCACAATTCTTAGTTAAGGGAACCACTTTAGGGTGAGCAAGAGATTTGACCCTAGAGGGGCTCCCAAGTGCCCAACATGAGGTTCCCAGTTAGTTCCTTGGGCAGCTGAGGATTGGGAACCTGAAATGACCCTATCCTAGAGCAATACTGACGAATATCTTGCATATCATCATAGAACCTTCATCTGGTGATGGATAGAGATAGAGACAGAGACCCACACATGAGCACTGGACTGAACTCCCAAGGTCCCAATGAGGAGCAGAAGGAGGGAGAACATGAGCAAAGAAGTCGGGACCACGAGGCGTGCACCCACCCACTGAGACAGTGGAGCTGATCTACTGGGAGGTCACCAGCTGGACTGTGACCGAAAAAGCATGAGATAAAACCGGACTCTCTGAACATGGCGAACAATGAGGGCTGATGAGACGCCAAGGACAATGGCACGGGGTTTTGATCCTACTTAATGTGCTGGCTTTGTGGAAGCCTAGCCAGTTTGGATGTTCACCTTCCTAGATATGGACGGAGAGGGGAGGACCTAGGACTTACCACAGGGCAGGGAACCCGGACTGCTCTGTGGACTGGAGAGGGAGGGGGAGAGGAGTGGGGGGAGGGGGAGAAGGGTGGGAAGAGGGGGAGAAGGGTGGGAGGAGGGGGAGGGAAATGGGAGGCTGGGAGGAGGTGGAAACTTGTTTTTTGTTTATGTTTTTTTTTCTTCTTTTCTTAATAAAAAAAATTATAATCACAAAAAAAAAGAAAAGAAAAAAAAATTTAAAAGCGTAATTTTAGCTTCAGGTATAATGGAATAGCTTGTGGGTTTTTTTTTTTAGTCCTTATACTAAGAATAGCCCAAAAGGAGAAGAAAAATATTAGAAGATACATTAGGAAGCCTTTGGAAATGAATAAATGAGCAGAAAGCCAAAGAACAAACAGCTGCTCCTACTCCTTCTCTTCCTCCTTGTTTTCATGAAATTGCCTCACTGTATATACCAAGCTGGCCTCTAACTTGCAATTCTCCTGCCTACTACTCACAGTCGTCTTGCCTCAGCCTTCCATGTGCAGGAATTATAGGTTTATAACATTATGCTTGGTTCAGATACACAAACTTCTGTTAATATAGTAAATAATAAAAAATATAACCAATTATAAATAAAGAATTGAAATAATGAACTGTGTTCTTATGTGGAAAAAAATCTAAAGATTTCATATATATTTAAAAAGCCTGCTAGAAGCTGGGCAGTGGTGGTTTATACCTTTAATCCCAGCACTTGGAAGGCAGAGGCAGGTAGATCTCTATGAGTTTGAGGCCAGCCTGGTCTACAGAGTGAGTTTCAGGGTAGTCAGGACTGTTACACAGAAAAACAGAGAGAGAGAGAGAGAGAGAGAGAGAGAGAGAGAGAGAGAGAGAGAGAACCATTAGAAATAATAAATTGGGCAAAGATATAGGACACAAAATTATATATTTTCATTTCTATATTAAAAATAAATGATCCAAAAAGGAAATCAACAAAAATGCATTTATAGTTGCATCAAAAAGAACAAAGACGCCGGGCGGTGGTGGCGCACGCCTTTAATCCCAGCACTCGGGAGGCAGAGGCAGGCGGATCTCTGTGAGTTCGAGACCAGCCTGGTCTACAAGAGCTAGTTCCAGGACAGGCTCCAAAACCACAGAGAAACCCTGTCTCGAAAAACCAAAAAAAAAAAAAAAAAAGAACAAAGACTATAAAAATGAATATAACTAAATAGGTAGAAGATTTGTTCGCTAAATATAACAAATGTTAATGAAAGAAATTAATGAAAATTGAAATTATTTTATTGTCTGAAAAACAGATATAACTGGAGATTATAATGTTAAATGAAATAAGCCAGACTTTGATAAATAATTGCATTTTTTCTCAATTTTATAGAAAATTTTAAAAGATTTAAAATTAAACATAGACTAGGTATATGATTCAAGAATTCTAAGTACATACTCTGAAGGAAATGCAGTGAAGAGGTAGAATAAGTATTATCTTTGTTACTGTACAGTATTGTTCACAGTAGACAAAATGGGAACACTCCAAATTCCCATCAACAATTGAATAGAAAAACAAAGGTGGTATATACATAGGTAGAATATTTGGCCTTAAAAGAGGAAGGAAATTCTAACATGTGCTATGCCATATATGAACTTCAAAGATATTGTGCTGAGTTAAATAAAGCAGTTAGTTTTCAAAGGAAAGATATTTATGATTCTCGTTGAGTAGTCTAATTCATAGACACAAAGTAGAAATTTATTGTTAGATTGAGAGGAGAAGGGAACTAGCAAGTAGAGTTTCGATTGAGAGGAGAAGGGAACTAGCAAGTAGAGTTTCAGTTTGATAAGATGAAGTAGTGATGGCATTTACACGATGATGTATTTAAAGTCACTAAACTGTACTCTTAAAATGATAAATTTTATGTTACACATATTTTTCTGTGATAAAAAAATACTAACAAAGACCAGCATAATGGCTAAACAGGTAAGAACACTTTCCACAAAAGCCTGATGACTTGAGTTTGATCCCAGAAACTCAAAGTGAAAAGAACCAGCTACAAAGGTTGCCCTCTGACCTCCATGTGTGTCATGTCATGAGAATGTGTGCCTGTACACACACACACACACACACACACACACACACACACACACACACACACCCTAAGCAATAATAGTTAAAACCTAGTTTTGATATTAATCCCAGAGCAAATGTGTGCTTAATTCAGTGAAACTTGTAATCGAGCATTCTCTAGTCTGCTCCCTTTCAAGTTGAAAAAACTCTGAAAATGTAGCATGTTTAGGGATTGGGGGAATGGCTCAGTTGGTGAAACACTTGTCTCGCCATCATGAGGACCCAAGTTTGGTTCCATGAATAAACATAAGAATGTCAGGAATGGTATGCATGCTTGTAATCCCAGCACTGGGAAGGAAGAGACATGAGGATCCAGGGGCTCACTAGCCAGAACATCTAGCCTAGTTGGTGGACTAGGTTGACGAGAGAATGGACCTCACAAGGAGATGAGTGACATTCCTGAGAATGACACCCAAGGCTTTCCACTGGTCTACATGTGTACTCATACACATATGCATGAAAAGGCAGCGTATCAAAGATAAAGATATCAAATCAAGTACTCATGAAAATATGTCATAGCCAAAAACATATAGTAGGGGTTCTATAAGTACTGACAAGAAAAGATATTCAATGTATTTGTGAGGAAAACATTTTTAGAACAATGTGTATTTTCCCCTTTGGTGATAGGAAAAATGCATGTCAGTGAATGAACAATATACTTATTGTATCTAAAAGTCTATTTAATTTACTTTTACATATATAGTAATATATATAATACATTTAACATAGGTATAGATTGCAAGATAGATTCTAATGTTAAGAAAGCTAGACTGTAAAAGGAAGACACCTTAAACAGAAAGAAATGAGGTAGATGTGTATATATGTATATACATACATTGTGAGTGTCTGTGGAAACCAATATTGCTTTAATCTGTACATTAAGAATATCCTGACCAGTTTTCAATTTTGTGTCAGGATGCAACAGTAGAATGAATCTCAGTGGACGACCCTACAGGTTCATGGGTGTGCTTGGAACATCAAAACTCTATGACATCCGCAAAACAGTCTTCACTTTCACTCCACAGGTGAGTGGCAAAAGCTGCACCATGCATTGAGATGAATCGAAATGAGAGGAGAGAGACTGCAGAAATAAAACATTGGCTGGAATTGGATTAGTCACAGTCTTACAGGGCCTTGCATGTATCAAGTGATTCAATAACTGTTCGCTGAATTGAACTCGCTGCATAGAGCTTTGCCAAGTGACTGCCACTACCAATATTCCCGGGTGTTAAACTGTGATTGGGATTTTCCAAATGTTAAGGTATTTACAGAATTTTCCTTATTTTTCAGAAGTTAAATTAAGACTGTATTTGTCCTTTATGTGTGGAAATACAATCTATTTAACTGCTCAATTAAGTGTTTCCTATTATGAAGGAGCCTTTTCATTTGCATAGAAATCTTCAATGTCCTCTTTTAAAGAAAAATAACAGGATTATTAGGCTGTAATCATATATATTGGTGGCCTGACATTTGTTAGCGACATACATAGATCTAAGATGGATGGCAGTAGCAGTTATTTTCTGGGAAGGAAGCTAGGTACAGTGTCACATGCTTGTAATTCCAGCACTTAGGAGGGTGAGGCAGTGCATTCAGCACCAACAAGGGCCACATGGTTAGCAAGGTTAGTATGAGGTACATAGGAATATTCTGTCTCAACCAAGGGCTGAAGATGAAGCTTAATGGTCAAGTGCTTTCTAAACATGCACAAGTCCTAAGGTTTGATCTCTAGTAGCAAAGTAATTATTTTCTTGAAGGAGAATTTTAATCCTCTATTTGTTATATCCAAAACAGTGCATCTAAGATAGACAAAAGATGAACTTAACCTAGACTCTATTTCTGACTTTTCCATTTGCTAATCAGATGTGTGTGTGTTAGTTCACATACTGCCCCTGAGTCTTACTCTTCATATTAAAAGAAAAACGGCAGCCAGGCGGTGGTGGCGCACGCCTTTAATCCCAGCACTCGGGAGGCAGAGGCAGGCAGATCTCTGTGAGTTCGAGCCCAGCCTGGTCTACAAGAGCTAGTTCCAGGACAGGAACCAAAAGCTACAAAGAAACCCTGTCCTGAAAAATAGAAAGAAAGAAAGAAAGAAAGAAAGAAAGAAAGAAAGAAAGAAAGAAAGAAAGAAAGAAAGAAAGAAAGAAAGAAAGAAAGAAAGAAAGAAAGGAAAGAAAGAAAGACGTCAAGTTGAGAATAGTGGTGTGTGCCTGTAATCTCATAACTCAGGAATTACAGAGCAAGGGCATTATGAGTTCAAAGCGAGCCTAGGCTACATAATAAAAAATTAGGAAGAAAGGGGAGAGGTAGAGGAGGAGCTACTTATACTAGGTGGTTATAGGATTAAATGAAATTATATACTTGAAAAAAATTGTAAGCAGTCACACACTTTAAAAATATCAGAAACTAGCTAGGCAGTGATGGCTGCACACCTCTATCCCAAGCAGTCAGGAGGCAGAGGCAGGCAGATCTCTGAATTCAAGGTCAGTCTGGTCTACAGAGTGAGTTCCAGGACAGCCAGGGCTACACAGAGAAATCTTAGCTCAAAAAAATCCAAAATAAAAAGAAAAAAATATCAGAAATTATTGTTATGCATACCGTTGACCACCACATACTTTGGGAATTATTAGTCATTAAATTTGAGAGTACTGTTTCCTGTGTGACATATATGCTTTATGAATAAGCAGACATTGAAAAATACTATTTGATATTTGTGAGAGAAAATTTTTCTGAATGATTGTTTTTCCTTTTCTCAGTTTATAGATCAGCAACAGTTCTACCTGGCTCTGGACAACCAGATGATAGTAGAAATGCTTAGAACAGATCTGTCCTACCTCTGTAGCCGCTGGAGGATGACAGGCCAGCCCACCATCACTTTCCCCATCTCACACACCATGCTTGGTAAGAGAATGAGTGAAGGAAGTTATGTGTGTAGTCCTTCAGTGTCGCACTGCAGAGCAGTACTTACCAGCTTAGCTTTTGTGTCAGACAATTTTCTAAGCTCTGGACACACAGGGTGATAGACAAGTAAGGTTTCTGTTCTATTTAAGTTTATGTTTTAGGAGGTGAAGACAGATGATAAATATGAAATAAATGGATGCATAAGAATATTTCATATGGTTTGAGAGCCACAGTGTAAAAACGGAGCAAAGACTAGCTTTAGGTAATTGATTTCTGAGTTAATTTTCCAAAAGTTATATTCTACAATTGTTTTTAAAGAGAATGCTACTACATCCTGCATCTGTTTTATCCCAGTGGAGCATCACAATTTATAGGAAAGTTCCCAAGCTTCTCCTTCCAAAGCCCATCTTACTGAAGGAGTCGCATTTAGGCGGAGAAAATGCAAAAGCTTTTGGGTTGTATTAGGACCAGGGAGAGCTGCTTCCTCACAAGGAAAGGCTTTGTTGTTCTGAGTTCTGCTGCTTTCTTTCTGTGTCTCTGCTGTTGCTTCCAAAGTTCTGTGTGTACTGCCAAAGTGCATAGAATTCCTTTTCATGAAAAAGAACCTTTGATCATTAGTCATTCAAAATCCAGACAGACTGGTAGGAAATTTGGTCACATCTGAAAAGGGCTACAAAATAGCAGGAGCTGAGAAAGTAGGGTAGTCTTTGTTCTTTTTAACAAGTGCGCATTTAAAACTAATGTATTCGCATAATTGTCTTGAGATAGTTACAGTTTAATTTAGAAGGCAAAGTTAATAGATAATAATAATAGAAAACAAATTCAAGATAGTACATTAAGTACTAAAGCACTGAAAGCTATCATGGTGCCTAAGAAAAAAGTTCAGCTGATGTAGAACTTAGGCTTTCAGATTTTCTTTTCTCGGTTTTTGTTTTTAACAAGATTTTTACACATTGAGCCATCTCACTTACCCTGTTGGTTTCTGAGACTGGATCTTATCTATGCAGGAGGAGTTTTTCATCTAAACAACTGATCAGCTCTGACCCACCAGCTGCTCCCCAAATAACCACACAGAGACTTATTATTAATTATAAATGCTTGGTTGATAGCTCAGTTTGTTACTAGCTAACTCTCACATCTTAAATTAACCCATATTTCTTATCAGTGCTCTGCCACATGCTCGGTACCTTTCCTCAGTACGGCAAGTTCACCTGCTTCCTCCACCCTCCTTCTTCCCAGCATTCTCTCTGCCCCTAAAATCCTACCTAGCTATCAACCAGTCAGCTTTTTATTAACAATGAGAGCAATACATCTTCACAGTACACAGAAGGATTATTGAACAGCTTGTATAGCCTAAGCTCTCTTCAAACTTGATATATAGCTAAGGTTGCCTTTGGACTCCTGATCTTCCTGCCTCTGTCTCCCAAGTACTGAGATTACATATGTTTACTACTATGTATGACTTTTATTTGTTTTTGTTATTACTTTGTTTTGTGTTTTTGAAGCAAAGTCTCACAGTATAGCCCAGGCTATTGTGGAATTCATTATGTACATGAGCCTGACTTTAAACTCATGGCCCTCCTGCCTCTGCCTCCAGAGTGTTATTAGAAAGAACAAATTAGAAAAGGCAAATCTCAAGACTATCATCAGTTTAATATAAAAACCAGATAATCATCATCCTTCTAGAGGATTTTACACACACACACGACTCATTATGAGTAATACCATCTGTACTGACTGGTTTTGTGTGTCAAACTGACAAACTAGAATCATCAGAGGAAGGTGCCTCAGTTGAGGAAATGCTTCCATCCTTAAGGCATTTTCTCAATTAGTGATCAATGGGGGAGGGCCAAGCCCATTGTTGGTGGTACTATCCCTGGTATAGTGGTCTTGGGTTCTATAAGAAAGTAGGCTGAACAAGTCATGGAGAGCAAGACTAGTAAGTAGCTGTCCTCCATGGGCTCTGCATCAGCTCCTGCTTCCAGAAGCCTTCCCTGTTTTGAGTTCCTGTCCTGACTTCCTTCAGTGATGAACAGCAATGTTGAAATGTAAGCCAAATAAGCCCTTTCCTCCCCAACTTGCTTTTCAGTTATGGTGTTTTGTTGCAGCGATAGAAACCCTAACTAAGACATTGTCTGTGAGATGCTTATCATAATGCTAATCCCAATGGTTCAAGGAGAAAAACCACTAACCATAATCATCAATGACCAAATTAATTAAAGCAAGCAATTAATTAAAGCAAGCTTTTTTAACTCATGTACATAGGCTGCCTCCCCCTATGGTAGCGTTCAAGAGGTCAGCCTTGGACATGGGTAAGATAAGAATTTTTATAGTTCAGGGGTTGGTGGTTTCCAGAAGGGGTATTTGGCAGGCTAATAGGTAGGGTTACAGAAGCAGCATTATAAAGCAGTCATAACAACATAGTCATAACAACCCTTTGAAACAAAGGTAAGGTTGCAGGATGGTCATAAAAACTTTTTGAAGACAGACCGTAGTGAAATACACCTTTAATCCCAGCACTTGGGAGGCAAAGGCAGGCAAATCTCTTGAGTTCAAGGTTCCATGACAGCCAAGACTACACAGAGAAAACCTGTCTCAAAAAGGAAAACAAATAAACAAACAAAACTAACATTTTGAAACAAAGACATGTTAAGTGAGTCATAGCCCAATCCTTGAGAAACAGAGACTTAGTCATAAACAGGAATGAACCTAGTTTCAAGCCTAACATTTGATAAATAGTTGATGTTGTTAAAAGTGCTGGTTACTTGTGATTAACAAGATAATGCCTTTGAAGAACTTAATCGTTACCATTTGCCCAGTCTCCAGTGATGTTGCTCTTCACATTAATCATCGAAGCACAGGACGGTCAGTGAGGAGTATCTCATTTGTGGTACTCCCAGTACAAAGTTGGTTTGAAATGTTTGAAACACTTCCCCTAGTTCTCAGTTAAAACAACAAAATATGTTTTTAAAATCTTTTACTTTTAAGAGGAAGATGGAACCAGCTTGAATTCAAGTATTCTGGCAGCACTCCGAAAAATGCAGGATGGCTATTTTGGTGGGGCAAGGTAAGTGAGCTAGGGGAGATGTAGCACAGGAAACTATAAATAATGCTTGAGCACTGCTTAGCATATGAGAAAGTCAAATTTAGATTCAAACCAATGCTGAAATAGCACACACAATTATAAGAATTCACTGTACTTTCTCAAGATATCATCTCAGCAGGCACATGAGTGTCCGCTTCCATTGATTCTTGGAAGGAAGACTATTCCTGAGTTGTAAAATAGCCTTCTAGAAATTTGTTTGTCTGTATAAACACATAAGCCAAGGCCCATTTTGACAGTGTTTCTATTATTCGGTGTACATCTGTAATTGGAATTCTTATATATAAAAATTAACTTATTTTGTGGTTTATTATTAATATATTCTTTGGGGTCTTATTTTATTCAATATATCATGACCCATTTCTGTCATTATTTCTTTCATTTTTCAAATTATCAAGATCTGGCCATTGGTAGCTCCTTTAAACTGGCTTCTTTAGAAAATTAATACTACTAATTTCATTTGAAGTTTTGTAATTGGCTTATTAAGTAGAGAATGATATAGTTCAACTTAATTTATTACAACATATAAAAATGTCAAATATTGTCTATGTCTAAAATTGTCTTTTGATGGTATTTTTAAATTTTTTGAGATTTCTTTTTATTTGTATTCTATATATATATATATATATATATATATATATATATATATATGAGAATTTTGCCTGAATGTACAATGCATGCCTGATTCCCACAGAGGCCAGAAGAGAGTATCAGATCCCCTTGAAATGGAGTTATAGATGATTCTGAGCTGCCATCTGGGTGCTGGAAATTGAGCCCAGGTCCTCTGCAAGAGCAACCAGAGCTCTAAACCACTTAGCAGTCTTTCTAGCCCCGATGGTATTTTTTTAAAAAATAATGTGATAGATTTGTGTGATTTATCTTCATTCTCTATCCACTTCTCTCATAACTAATGCAGTTTTTTACCAGATATTCAACATAGTGTACAGCAATAAAAGAGAATACAACTATTCTGTTGGAGGATTGTGAACTCGAATTAGTGGTCTTTCTTTAAAAATCTTGTCCCTAACATGTTGAAACATGTAAAGCATTCTTTTATTGACAATTATGACTCATTTGTATATCCTTTAAAAAGATATTTCCTGATTTGCTGTTTTCTATCTACCCTATAATTATAAGGATCCAGACAGGTAAATTGTCAGAGTTTTTGACAACATCTTGCTGCACACACTTAAGCTTCATGGACCCTGGACCTGAGGGTAAGCTGTACAATGAAGATTATGATGAAGACTATGATGAGCTGGAATCTGGCAACTGGATGATGGATAGCTATGATTCAACAAGTAATGGTAAGGAGGCCTTAAACACCACTGGTTGACCAGACAAGAATACGAGTGATTGTTTAGCTTCATCATTAATAACTGATGTTTCCAACAATCTCATAGTGTGCCATCCTCAGTCCTCTTTAATACATGTAGATTTCTACTTTTGTTTTGCTTCACTTTTCTTCCCTCTACTGCTCTTTGGTTTCTGGTTTAATATCTCTGTGGTGACTGACTGTAGAGTATGAGGTTAGGCAATGCCTTACCAAGATTAGGGAAGATTTCCTTCTTGAGTTTTTGAGGTAGCTGGTAATTTGAAATAGGAAGAAACAATGATAAGTAAAATATTTAATCAATAGTGCAGTTGAAAACATACATATACAAATATATGTATATCTTATATTTGACATTAAAAGATGAAATTTGGTTAGAGTTATGTTTAAAGTTTCACATAACTCAAGGACTTATATTTTACATAATATTAGAGACATGTCTTGATATCTCTGTACTTTGAAAAAGCCTGTTCAGAATGCCTGTCACTATTATGTGACAAATGCGATGAATAATGTACATAATTCATGCTAACGATACAAACATGGTGCCATGAGAATGCATTCTGATAGCATGGATTTAAAATGACTAGGAAACACTGACTGCAGTGCACAAGTACTGACCTTTGCAAGACAAAAATTACATTGTTTGAGTCTTCAAAAGAGAATGGTCGATAAGAGAATGGTTCTTCTAACTATCTAAATCTTGGTGAACTGTTTTTTGTTGTCTGGGTATTTGACTGTTGTCTACCATAAGATACTAACAAGCATAATCTCATAGAATAAGTACTGTTTTTTGTTAGGGCTCAACATTTACTCTATATTCTTCTTTATTTGCATAGTATTTCTTTTTGTATAAAGCATTTTGATAATTAAATATAACCGATATCCCTCTATTCAAGTATCTGGATTATATTCATAGTTAAAATATCTGTCACTAGGATACCATTGAATTTGAGTTTGATTCTTAGAGCTCTACTAGTTCCCATTGGTCATACCAGATCACAGAGGGACTTCTAAAGAGGTCACTGAAGATTGTCCAGCACCAAATGATGCATGACAGACAGACAGCTTTGGTTCCAATCCCAGCACTTCCCTAACTGTAAACATAATAAATGTTCATTTTAAAGTGTGACATTTCCATTATCTGTATAACAATATGATTTAAGTGTGTCCAACTTGGTAGATGATGTCATCATCTACCAAGTTCATGTTCAAGAACCATGCAATAGTAGAGTTTTTTAAAACCTCATGTTTTGAGTAAGTTCATGATTTTGTTTGAGGCCTTATCATAGTTATCCTTGGCTACATGTGACCCACAAGCCATGGGGCTAAATGTACCTAGATGATACACGGGAGAGGGTGAGCCCAAGAGAAGGGAGACAATATGTACTTTCTGCAACAATTCTCAATGTCCAGGACACTGCCTGTTCCATAGTAACAACACATATTTGGAGGATAAATAAATAAATAAGATGTCTAAAAGGCAATTTGTGACCAATAGTCCTTAGCCAACGGCATGCAAATATGCTTTTCTTGTTAGTGATTAGTACTAGTGTTTGTAGACTCTTTTTAGAACTAACTCATTATTTGGTGGAAGATTTTTTTGCCCTTCCATGGCCTTTCTCCGGAAAAGTCTCTTTCTATTAGTTGAAAGGGCCTATCCTTCCAATGTTGTCTCCCTTCTGCCACCCCTGCCATCACACACATAGAAATTATGAAATACTTGCTCTGCTTATTCTAGAACAAACTCATACATTTAGCTTTCAGTAACTTTACCTGTGTCTCAGCAAAATTGAAGAGCAGGTGGATCCTGGTAAATGGCTGTAGACTCTAAATCTTAATCTATGAGGTTATACAATTGTCTCAAGGATTTTTTTTCCCCATGAGTCAAGAACAGCCTTCCTCTGAGATGGTGTTTTAGGTATAAGAGCCACTCATTCTGACTACTAGGGTAGATTTTGAAGTAACTATGTTTGTTTTTGTTTCTTCCCTTTCCCCAACTAACCTTGCAGCTCGCTGTGGTGATGAAGTTGCTCGTTACTTAGACCACCTTTTGGCACACACTGTTCCCCATCCTAAACTAGCTCCTACCTCACAGAAGGGAGGGCTAGATCGGTTCCGAGCTGCTGTGCAAACAACTTGCGACTTAATGTCCTTGGTGACCAAGGCCAAGGAGCTGCATGTACAGAGTGAGTAATGCCATTACTCCCTAGTGTCAAACACAGATGCCATGAAGCCCATGATGGAGACAGGATCATGGTTTTGTTCACTGCTTTGTTCCCAGCCTCTTGGGCAGCACCTAGAATATAGTAGGCACTCAAATCCTTATGAAATCAATGAATACTATATAATCGTGATATGGATACTGTCATATAGTCTGGTTTGACCAAGAAAACAGCAAGACACAGAACAAGAGAACATACTCAGTTTTAATATAGAAGTAAAATGTAGAAGAGCATTTCTCATTTGGAAAATTACTTCTTTGAGGGTAATTTAGAATTTCTATTATAAAACAGGGTAGACAGAAGCAGAGACTGATATAAACTACAACTGGATTCCCCTTTATGCCCACTCTAACTGTGCATCCAGTTGTTCTAGCCATGTAGATCTCAAATATAATACTCATTCTTCACAACATCGCCACAGTTCTCTCCATAACCAGTACCTTCCTTTAGTAATGTTTTCATTGGAAGGTATCTTTTGTATGTTACAAAAGTAGCCATGGTTCCTAAGACTTCAGTATCTCTGTGGTTGCTATATGTGGAGGGAGAGAAGGGCTCCTAAGCCACACCTAGATAACCTGAATGTTACATTATCCAGAGGATGAGAATGGTTGTCATGCATGCTCCTGCTACCTAAATTTTTATTGACCATTACTAACCAGATACTAAATGTGAGCACTGTTTAACATTGAGATGAAGGAATTAGGATACCCTTTGGTTGTGTTCCAGCTAGAAAGAGTTTATGCAACGACATGAACTTATGTTCATTAAATTGCATTTATCATTTGTAAATCAGGAAATCAGAATTCGATTCCTAGCATTGCTATTTACTTACTTGACCAGTTATTTGAGCTCTGTATCGTCTCTGTGTAAAATGCTGAAAATGAAGTGCAGGTCTCTCCTTAGAGGTTATGGTAAGTATTTCTACTATGTAAGTAAAACATCTTAGAAACATCTCAAAGTTGATCAACCACTACATGTTTTTTGAGTCTCTAGATAGAATCATCCAGTCACAGCCTCTGGAAATCAAATATTTGCCTAGAAAATCCCAGAAAAAGTAAAATGTAACTGAGTTATTCCTTTTAGGTGTTTTTATGTATTTATATGAAAATACTAGTGATAGCATCATTGTGATAGTGATCCTATTAATAAATATAATATCTTATATGTCTAGTTGATGGTACAATTACAGAAAATCCTTTCAAAAATATAAAAATATGCATTAATTGGATATTTAAAAACTTATCTAATAGCCACATTTCTTTTTATTTGTATCATTGAAGGAAACTTTCGTCATTCTTGTTCTGTAAAGAACTGATCCACATGTTACCGTATTGCTAAGTCAACCATGTGTTTTATGTTTCCTACTTAACTTTTTCCATAAATGTCAACTTCCTGCAGATGTTCACATGTACCTTCCTACAAAGTTATTTCAGCCTTCTCGCCCTTCATTCAATTTACTTGACTCGCCTCAGTCTCCACAAGATAACCAGGTAACTGTGCATTTCTGTCAGCTTTTTGTAAAAATCTGGCATCTTTTTTTTTTCTTTTTTTATTGATTCTTTGGGAATTTTACATCATTCATTCCAATCCCACTCATTTCTCAGTTCTTCCATATCTGCCCTCCACCCTTATAACCTTCCCCACAAAAGAAAAAGCAGCAAAAAAATACAAAGCAAAACCTCTGGCCAAGCCCTCTGGGAAACCACCTGTTCCTCCATCAGTTGCAGCCTTCTCTCATACCACTCACAGCTGTGGCATCTCCAGTTCTACAGCCCATGCACCACCTCACTCCGCTGTGTCTTTCCTGCCTCTCCACATGTCTTCATCATAGTGGCATCGGAAGCTGTGGTGTGTCACGTAGTACACCCTTTTGCCCCAATAGCTTTACTTGCAAATGTGCATGCAGTGAGTCATTGGTCAAGTTCAAGGCCTCTGGCTTCTGGTATATCATCAATACTGGACCCTCACCAAGACTTGTCTCAGATATCTGGCTGTTGTCCAGAGTTGTGGAGATCCTATGGCTTTGGGTCTGCAGACCAGTCCCTTCACATACTCCAGCAGCTCATAGATGTGGCAGATGTTGGGGTGGGCCAACTCAAGGTCCTGGATCTGGGCCTGGGTGATAGCTCTCCTGTGCCCGTGCATTTGGGGCCATCTCTCTTACACCACCCCAGTGAAGGGCAGGCCAGCTCAGCACAGTACTTGGACATCAACATGGCTTCAGGCAGAAGCCCAGACCAAAGATATCTGCATGGCCTTTGGTGGTAACCTATGCCTCAGACATTAAGCAGACACTGCCAAGGTAGGACCACAAACCCAGACATGGCCCCCAAGCAGTATCACAGCCCTTGACCCTCAAAATGGCTTCAGGCAGCAGTACAGGGCACAGTTATTCGCTTGGCCCTTGAAGGTAACACAGGTCACAGGCATCAACACAGACCCCAGCTGCAGTAGGACCATGGACCCAGAGGTCTGGATATCACCATGGCCTCAGGTAGAAGCACAGACCAATCAGATCAGTTTGACACCCCACCACCACATACACCCAGAGACATGAGTATGGCCCCAGGCGCCAGCCTAAACTACAGACATCCCTCAGTGGTAATACAAGGCCACAGATAGACCCCAGCTACTGTAGGCCAATAGACTCAGACATGGCCCTTAGTGGCAACCAGGCATCACCATGGCCTTGGGTGGTTGTACAGGCTTCTCATATCAGCCTGTTCCTCACCACTGTCCTGTCTCCAGCTCCACCTCTCTCCACAGCACACAAACCACTCAGCTTCTCTTCCATCTCTCCATCATTTACTCTCTCTCTCTCTCTCTTTCTCTCTCTCTCTCTCTCTCTCTCTCTCTCTCTCTCTCTCTCTCTCTCTCTCTCTCTCTCTCTCTCTTTCTCTCTCTCCTCTCCCCATTTCATATTTGTTCATTGTAGGGCCCAGATGGGCAGGCACTTGGGTGTTTTCTGGCCTGCCCCAGGGCCTTGGGGCCAGGACAGGTGTTTCAAACTCTGCCATCTTTAAGGAAAGTAAGAAAACTAGTCACTATGGTTTCTGATGTGTCTTAGTTTGCTGCAACAAAACACCATGACCAAAAAGCAAGTTGGGGAGAAAAGGGTTTATTCAGCTTACACTTCCACACTGCTGTTCATCATTGAAGGAAATCGGGACAGGAACTCAAACAGGACAGGACCCTGGAGGCAGAAGCTGATGCAGAGGCCATGGAGGAGGCTGCTTACTGCCTTGCTCAGCCTGTTTTCTTCTAGAACCCAGGACCACCAGCCTGAGCATGACCCTACCCACATGGGATGGGCCCTCCCTCATCAGTCACCAATTGAGAAAAAGGCCTACAGCTGGATCTTGTGGAGGTATTACCTCAACTGAGGCTCCTTCCTCCCTGATGACTCTCATTTGTGTCAAGTTGACCCAAAACCAGCCAGTACATGGTATTAAACAAAACACTATCAAATAAAGATATATGTCTTTTTAAGTTTATTCTTAATGTAAACTTAGAAAACTACTTTTCTGTATCTTAGGGCTTGGTGGTCTTGCTGTTTTGGCTTTGCTTTTTATCAGCATTTTGGGAAAAACATTGTGAGGCAGAACCTCAAGTAACTTACTGTGTAGATGAGAATGGTCTTGAACCCTGACCCTGTTGCCTTAACCTCCCAAATGCTCGGGTTACAGGTGTACACTACCACATCTGACCAGCATTAGAAAATACTTGTGGAAAAGATTTAGAGGTGGAAAGATAATTTATTCTAGGTCATCATCTAGTTAAGCACTGTTAACTTCGTCCCTTTTATCATTTCTTATTCCAAAGGTTCCTTCTGTTCGTGTAGAGGTACATCTTCCTAGAGACAAATCTGGGGAAGTGGACTTCCAGTCGCTGGTTTCACAGTTGAAGGAGACTTCAAGCTTACAAGAGCAAGCTGATATACTCTACATGCTGTACTCAATGAAGTAAGTGATGGATATTATTGGTATACATTAATGCACATATTGTGAGGAAGTATAGCATGTTAGTCAGCTTTCTCTCTTATAACAAATGCCTGCGACAGTTTATTAAAAGAAAAGGTTCACTTTTGAGCTCAAAATGTTCCTTATTTTAATATGCTTTGTAATTGTTTATTTTATATGTATGAGTATTTTGCTTGCATTATTGCTGTGCACTCCAAAGCTTGAAGAGAGTGTTAGATCCCTTGGAACTGGAGTTACAGATGGTTGTGTGCCACCATGTTGGTGCTGGGAATTGAACCCTGGTCCTCTGGAAGAGCAGCCAAATGCTTGTTACTACTGAGCAAACTCTGTAGCCACTAATATTAGTATTTAATAGAAAAGTATATTGATATATAACAGTATTCATTTTGCTGGTTTTTTTTCTGCTTCAAACTCATTTTTAACATAGTTCAAAATTTTTTTTTGTTGGTAAGAGAGAATACAATAAAGGATGTAAGTCTGTATTTTCCTCTAATGAAAGGTCATGTTTCTACTCATGTTTAGTAGAGTTTGTACTATATTAGACACCTAGTTATCCTTAATTATTATTTAAGGGTAAAAGGTATAAAAAAACCTTTAAATAATAACCTGAATTACCTTTAACTAATAACTTGAATTTGATTATTTTAACTATATAAAGTTGCTCTTTTTCATATGGAAAAAGAGAAAAAAACAAATTTTATTTTGGCTTATAGTTTTGGAGATTTCATTCTATTATTGGTTAGCCATGTTGCTTTATGGTCTGTGATGAGGTACCAGATCATGGCAGCAGCATGGGGTGAAAGCATTCACTTCATAACTGGGTTACAGGAGAGAGAGAGAGAGAGAGAGAGAGAGAGAGAGAGAGAGAGAGAGAGAGAGAGAGAGAGAGAGAGAGAAGAGAACAGTGTCCTAGTATCTCCTACAAGGGCACACCTCAGTAACCTAATCTAGGCTCTGCTTTATAAAGGTTTCCACCATCTCCCTGCAATTACATAGGTAGAGGACCAAGAGTTTAACATTTGAGGACTATCCAAGATCTAAACTATAGCACACAGTAAATGGAGCACAGCATTTGAGCTTCATGTACCTGTTTAGTACAGTTTACCAATATACTCATGGTGTGATTTCAAAGCCTACATTGTATACATACACAAAATTAGTATTATTCCGGCCTCATAAAAATTATTATAAATAGCTGGAAATCTAGGGCTGAAGAAGCAGTTCATTGATTAAGAGGACTAGCTCCTCTTCCAGAGAACCTAGCTTAGATTCTCAGCACACACATAATGGTTCACAACCAACCATCTGTAAGCATGCTCCCATGGGATCTAGCCCTCTCTTCTGGTCTCTGTGGGCATCAGGCACACCTATGCCACACAGATACACACGCAGGCAAAATAACCATACATATAAAATAAGGAATAAAATTGTGTGTGCATAAAATCCATAATGCAATGCCAGGCCATAATAGGTAATCAATAACAGATAAATATGATTATCAGTATTGTGGTTCTTATGTGTTGGAGTTAGATTCCCTAACTGGACTGGAATGGAGTCGCGAGGAATAATCAAACGCAGCTTACATGGTCATCATGGAAGGGCCAGATCTCTCCTTTGTTATCCAAACACCTTATATATCATCACATAAATTGAGTGGGGGAAAACACATTAGGCTGTCTCCTAGGCAACCAGGTGCATGGGCTCAAGTCACGTCTGCATCTACCTGTATTCTAGCAGTCAGGTAGGCCATGAGTTAGCATCTCTATAAGACATCCTCCAAATTTCAAAAGAAGGAAGCACCAAACCTCTTAACTCTTAAGTCATTAGCTTCAGCCAACATCTCTTCTCAGGTAATCTACATTATAACAAAAGAAACTAGGAGCAGCACCTCCTGGCTATTGTTAAACAGAGACAGCTTGTCTGCAGAGTTCGTGACTGCCTCAGACCGGGCTTATGGCTCTTGTGCCATACAGAAATATGGGCCTACACTTATAGAAGCCTATTGGTATATTGTGTGTGCGTATGTGTGTATATATGTTGTGTGTACATGTCTGTGTATACGTGCATGCTTGTGTGTGAAGGTATATTTGTAGAGATGCATATGTGTGTGTAGGTCAGAAGTCAGCCTTGCATGTCAGTCCTCAGGCACTATGCGTCTTGTTTTTTGAGACAGGGTCTCTCATTGACGTGGGCCTTGCCAGTTAGCCTAGGCTGGCTATATCTGCTTCCCCTGCACTGGGATTACAAGAGTGTGCCAGCACACCTGGCTTTTTTAATGTTGGCTCTGAGAATCAAACACAGGGTCTCATGCTTGCATAGCAAGCACTTTACCAACTGTTCTGTCTCCCCAGTCCTATATTCCTAACTCTCAAAAGAAAGTGGGCAAGATTGTCAAAGACCAGCCTCGACCGACGAAATTCATATGTTCCAGGGTAGGAGCATAAGGATTAGAATTACTAAGCAAAAGGAACAGAGATATGAGAGAAATAAAAGTAAGAAACACAGAACAGCATCGGGAGGGAAATTCAGTAAATACTGAATCCTGAATGTGCCCATGCTGTTTTTCATACACTTTTATACCCCAATACAAAAGGGGGGGAAGAAGGCAAAAAAAAACCCACTTTAACATGACACAAAGGACAACCAGAATAGTTACTTGTTTCAATACTTGAGACATCAAGCCATTATTTCCTGAGTAAAGCATTTGATGTTTTGGGCAGGATATGCAGCAAATAAACCCTAGACCAAGTATCCTGTAGGCAGCCACTCCCTATGTCAAACCTCCTATTTTAAATGAAGGAGCAGGAATTGAATTCTCTGACCTTTGGTCAGGGTGGAGTGGATCCACCTCTATGGGCCATCTTAATGTCCAAAACACCAAGTAACCACACGCTAGGTCAAGGTTTTTTGTTGTAGCCACAAGTGTTGTCAACAACTTTGAAAGAGTGAAAATAAGCTGGTAAACTCTCTGACCTTTAGTTAAGGTGGAACAGGCTCACATCTGTGGCCCTCATACATGGTAACTAATGTTTGTAAGTAAATGCAGCACTCTGGAGCCTGAGTCAGCGTGATGACTTCCATGGATTCAAAGCCAGCTGTAGTTTCATAGTGAGTTCTCATGCCACCAGAGTCTAAACTTGGTGAACTAATGGGTTTTATTGGAATTATTTATAGAAGCATGGGTGAGGAGTCACTTACAGGAGCAGACATTACTCAAAGATAGCTGCATCACCAATACCCATCCCCTGCTTGGGTGGCAGTTCACAAAAGCTGGAAACAGGAACATACTGCGTACTCTGCAGGCAGCTCAGCAGGTTGAGGTCTCCCCTCCAAGTAATCAGTCGAAACCTCTTCCAGGCAGCTCTGCTGGTGTTGTAGGAGACTGCTAGTTTGTTCCTGGCTGTTCAACCCTGAAATAATCACACAGAAACCATATTATTTGCAATACTGTTTGGTCAATAACTTAAGCGTATTTCTGACTAACTCATATCTTAAATTAACCCATCTCATTAATCTGTGTATTTCTATAAGGCTGTGACTTACTGTGTCTGTCTCCAGTGGGACTACATGGCTTCTCTCAACTCTGCTTTCTTCTCCCAGCATTCAGTATAGTTTTCCCCACCTACCCCTATTCTGTTTTATCACAGGTCCAAGACAGTCTCTTATTAACCAATGGTATTCACAGCATACAGAGGGGAATCCCACATCATGCTGGTTTCTGCTTCTTCTAGGCAGTTGGTGGGTCTTTCTTTGTAGCTTGGCTTGTATGAGATTCTTTGTAGTTTTGCTTGTCCTGAGATTCTTTTTGTCAGTTTGATGGCCTGAGAGTGGCACAGCAATATTTATTGCTTATTCTGGGAGTGAGATGCCTAAAGAATCTGGTCAGTTTCAGGGACTTCCGGAAGCCTTGGTTGATTGTTTACCTTTGACTTAAGGTGTTGCCCTTTGGGTTGGAATGTTTCAATTGGTGGGAAACTGCTACACAGCAGCTAACCCGGGATCCAGAGTGAGATGCCACAGAATCACTAAAAAAAAAACAGAGAGGCTTATCAGAAAAAGAAACAATATTTTTGAGTGTTTGCTTACATGTAAGTTACTCTGATAGGTATTTGCTGTCTTCTACTCAGCATGTGAAAATGAACTCATATAATTTCCTGCCCATCCAACCTGCATAAAATAAGCAGTAATTTTTATATTGTGGTGA